TACTGCCCAAAAGGTTGTAACCGCGAAAGCTAATGACAGGAAAATCAACCCCGGCAAAGTCACCAAGGCGTTTGATATAACATAAGATAATCTCCTGTAAGCGTTGTAAGCGGTTTCTCTCATGAAAATGTACCGTTCTTGGAGAAAAACTGGAAGGGCATCAGCACAAGTGTAAAAGGTCGTCGACATGGCGAAAGCGAAAAACCCTATTCTTTCTTGGACCCCTTTCGGTGAGTTATCAAGCCGCCAGAATACGGTGGCTAGGATAAACCCCGTTACCATAACAGCTCCCAAACGGATACCAAACAACTCGGGCATCCTCCTTGAATTCAAGATGGATCTGTTTGACAACACCACCATTTCTTTCCAAAAAGGATTTGCAAAACTTGGAACCATGGAAGTGGAAGTGACATCATTGCTAGCGCCTGAAACAAGTTTACCTCTTGAAATGCTGGCGCTTATTGCATCTTTGAGTGACAAACCAAGCCGATCTGGCTCGGAGTCTCCTGTATGCTTCATGTTTTGCCATGACTTGTTGAATTCAACCAAACTTTTGGTTCCTCCAGGAGATCCTTCGAGTTCTCGGATTAAGTCGAGAGCAAACTCAGTTCTGTTCTCGTTCTCGGGTATCGGATGCCCAAACTCGGAGAAATATAGCGGCAGGTTTGTAGGTGAACCACTGTAAACAGTTTGTCCGCGAGACAAAAATATCAATCTGTCAAGCAAACCAAGAATTCGATAACTTGGCTGATGAACAGACATGATAACAATGCTTCCACTCTGAGCTATCCTCTGCAAAACTTTAACCACCATGAAGGCGCTTGTCGAATCAAGCCCTGATGTTGGCTCATCCAAGAACAGAATAATGGGGTCGTGAATTATATCAATTCCAATTGATACACGACGACGCTCTCCGCCAGAGACACCACGATGACCTTCATCACCTATAACAGTTTTGGCTGCGTTTCTCAAGCCTAGTTGGTCAATCAAAGCTTGAACTCGCATTTTCTTCTTGGATTTCGACAGGGTCCGAGGAAGTCTGAACTCGGCAGCGAACATTAAGGTTTCTTCGACAGTAAGCATTGGATAAAGCAAATCATCTTGCATAACATAAGCTGAAATCACTTTCAACATCCGCGACTCCAAAACTTCGCCGTTTAAAGTCACGTTCCCTTTCAAACTCCCTTTAGCTATTCTATTAGCTAAAGCATCAATAAGCGTCGATTTCCCCGACCCACTCGCTCCAAGCACAGCGAGTATCTCTCCGTCTCGAGCCTCCCCGGAGATATCATTTAGTAACGTCTTCGTCTTGTTAAAGTACCTATCAGCAGCTAGCGGGTCTCCGGTGGCCGAGGAGGCGGCGCTTCTGGTTCTCCGTCTCAAAAACCCCGGAAGCGCCATCTTGCGGGAAACCTTTACACTATAACTAAGGTTGTTAAAGGAAAGAACAAATGGCATTGGCCTCGGCTGGGTAACATCGACGAGGATTTCATGGACCGGAGTTTCGTCGCCACTGACTTCTTTCCGTGCATCGTCGACGTGTTTAAGCAATTGCCCTAGAGTCGGGAAAGCTCCAGCCGCGGTTGAAAACTCTCCGGAGACAAGCTCCATCGAGTGAGGGAAAAACTGGGAAGAAGTATTATTATCCGGCGATATATTTTCCGCTACAACACGAGACATCGTGGCTTTTCTTTTTTGACTTAAAAAATCGGCAAAAGGGTGGCGATATTTAAAGGGAAAAGAGATTTCTGGGGAAGAATGTACTGTTAACGGCCTTGCAGCTGACTTAACGCCGTTAACTCTGGTGTTTGTTTGAAGAAGAAGAAGAGCGAGGTAGAGGGAAGATGGGAGTGCTGTGGCTTTGGGTATTTTTGTGGTATGAGAATTCTCTTTCTGTGTCTCTCTCTACATATATATATATATATATAGGAATTTGAAAATCAATGTGAAATTGTTAATTATTAATTATTAATTATTTTCTTTTATTTAATAAATTTATATAATATTATTTATTATTATTATTATTTTGTTCATGCTGTTTTTATTGGGAGGTAAGAGAAAGGTCACCTAAATCATCTAATCTGAAATCTATACGTCTTTCTTTTCTAGGAAGGAAGATGAAGAGGACACGTGGATGGTTAGGATGGATGTTTATATGGGTTTTTAAGTGATGGGTAAATGACACGTGGCGTAATGGGACTTTGAGTATGGGGGAGTTAGGCCGGGTGTTGATCTACTGTGGCGTAAGCTTTTGCTTAGTCCAAGTGGATGGCTAAAGTTTAAATGGATTTCGCTGCTAAACTTGGACTGCTTAATCTCAGGTTTGATGGTTTAACTAAAGGTTTGAAGTTTAATAATTTGTGATTAGGGTAACAAATTTACAACTTCATCTCAAGTGAGACAAATAGTAAAACATTTTTTTGAAGAATGTCTATGGGTACTTCATAATCAGATTTTTATATTATCAGATTCGATTAAATATAATTAAGATACCTTTTAATCTAATTCGGGTAAGGTTCGATTTGTAAAACTACTACTTATCACGAGTTTGTCACTAGTTCATATAGTGGTTTTAAGACACTAATTATCCGAATCAATTATAGGTGATAATTTTCAATATTAAAATTAAATTTTATATTTATTTATTTATTGTTTATAAATTTTTTATAATTAATGTAATACTTATTAAAATTTATTAATTATTATAAATATAATTTTAAACTTTAATATATTCTTATGAACTAATTTTATTTTATTAATCTAGTTATCATTAATAATATACATAACAATTAATTTAAAAATTTTTAAAATGAGTACAAGCATTTAATAAGTATTGTCAAGGATATCTGAGTACAGACTCAAATAACAATTTAAAAATTTAATTTGATATTTATTAGATTTTAGTACCTTATTAAATAATAAAATTTGAGTTAAAATACTTTAAAAATAATAGGTAACTTACTCGTTAACAAGAATCCGAGCATTTGGCTCATTGATTGGTGCATTATCTCTTTACTTAAAAAGCAAAGTTTAAATCTCCCCTCCTCCAATTATAAAAAAAAAAAAAATTTCCCGTTAACATCTCTTATAATTAAAATTGACTATTTAAGAAAACTTAGCTAACAAGAGAAGATAAAAATTAAGTTTGGGAGGGTGCATTGAATTTGAACAAAATAATAAAGGGAGAAGATTTAATTAGAAATTTATTTGAGTGAATTTTCTTGGCCTAGATATGACTAAAATATTGTTGGAAGTTATGAGCCAGTTAATTATTAATCCAATTGGAGTGTGGGAGTTAATTTAACTCAAACATCAAAAGAGAACTTTCATGCATAAAAGATTGAATTAAATATTACTTGTTCTTGTTAAATATATATAATTTTCCTTTCCAAATTTAGCTTTTTATTATTTGGTGTGCAAAAAGTCTTCTTATCTTCATTAAATAAAAAATAAAAAATAAAAAAATAAAAGAAAAACAATTTCATAAACCCTAATAGAATCAAGCTTTGACAGTTTGCATATGTTTTTTTGTTAGTGTTACAAAGATCAACAACAAGTCTAAACAAAGATAAAGTCTACTTCTAAATATAGGATTTGTAATTAGTAAATTTACCAATTAGGTGGGTTGATTTCTTTCTTTTTATTTATTTATTTCTCTTTAGGAAATGTCATTTGATGTTCCAAAATAGCAAAGTAACCACTCATCTTAATTAAATGTAGGTTGAATGGAAAAAGTGTTTGTTCAGGTAATCTTTAGCAAATTATTTTGGCAAAGTATTGTGCACTTCACTTTTTAATATTTTGCCAAAAACAAAGATAAAATCAGAATTGTTGGTAAAATCAAAGGAATGTTTGCTCTCTAGTTTTGTTCAACTTTACAACTGTACAAGCCTGTACAAACTCCATATAATTTACTCATTTTTTTAATTTATTTTTATTTTATCTCAAAAAATTATACACAGACAGAGAGACAGAGAGAGAGAGATTCTTTTTTAGTAAATTAAGTTGATTAAAAGGTAGAATGAAGTAGGAGAAATTGAAAAATAAAATTTCTTTTAGGTTTGATCGACAAACGACGTTAATAATACATAACGATTATGATAATCAGATTTTAAGTAGATGGAGGAGGTTGAAGAATTATTTTATTTATAAAATGTTCAATTTATTTATTTTTTACAAACAGTATGCAAATAATAAATAAACATGATTTGAAATTTTTATTATTTAAATAAAATATTTTTATTTTTTTAAAATTTTAATCATAATTTTATGTATATTTTTTAATTTTAAAAATAAAAAATCCATCACAAACGTATAAACCATGTTAACAAATAAATATAAAATATTCAAAATACCTTTCATCTTTTTACCTCTTTTTCATTATTTTTTTAAAGCCAACCTATGGTGCTCTTTATGCTAATTGTTTGTGCTCCCTTGGAGAGTCGCGCCCCCCACCTTCGTGCTCCCAGATCTTGCACTCTCTTGGGAAACGAGGGGAGGGGTGCGGAGGGAGATCCAATCGGAGTTGGGTCTAGCGCTCCTCAACTAGAGTTGGATTTGACGCTCCGATAGTGGGAAGAGGTAAGGGAGTTTTTTTTTAACAGGAAAAAAATTAAAAATAAAAACTATAATTTATATAATACGATAGCTTTTAAAATTAATAAAAATAAAATCATCTTTTTAATGAAAATATTAATGATTGATTAACAACTCAACTTATATATTTCACAAAAAATATTTTTTTATGACCAATTGTCAGGACCAATTGCTTATTTGAAAAATTAAGTCTTGGGTGAAATCATACCTAGTGAAAATATTTTACCCTTATTATTTTTATCAGGAGAGTAAGACCATAAATCTAGAAGCTAAAGATTTTTGGTTGTGAGACCAATTAAAACATAATGCTAGTGAAGAATCCAACGATAACAAAAGCATTAATTGTTTAAATGCCAACCAGCATATATATTCAAAGCCCTCGTACACGATGCATGACAAATTTCACAAATCTGGAAGCTTAATCTTACCTTCACGAAATGCGAAGCACCTTTTTTTTTTTTACTTTAAAATGGAATCATTGTGTGTTTACTACCAGCAAAACCTTATTTATAATGAAACATGATGCTTTAACTTAGGTGATGAAGATGTAACCAAACTTAAAATAGAAACCTTATGCTTACAGCTAGGTGATTGATTGATTCCTAAGCCTGCTAAGCAAAAAGGTCTGGTTTCCAGAAGCAGAAAGGACGTTTAATTCTCTGATACTCAATCCTTTGCATCCTCAAAAGGGAAAGGGCAAACCTGAAGTTAAACCAACAAACTGGAGGGAAAAAAAAAGTATTGAGCTTGCGTTTGTGGACTTGCTTTGGGTAGTTAAAATGTAGATAAGCCACCTCCCCTTACCAAAAAGCAAGCTAACTCATACCTATAAATATAGGCTGTGAAAAAAGTGTCTGCTACTGCATGTCAATAACAGAAAATGGGGGAGGGCATAAAATGATTTGTGCATATCAACATGGGCATGTGATTTATTCAGGCATAATTTATAACTGTTCTAAGTCAATTTTCTGTTTTTTCTTTCATCAGCAAAAGTTCAAAGGCTGGAAACAGCTTTGTTATCTGTCTTTGTCCTTACAGGCTTCTGTCAGATGCAACTTGCAAGCATTGACTTGATAAAGCCGGTGCCAGATGTTGGTCAACTTTGGAATTTTTTCCTCGCATTTATGACTCCCAGAACTTTGATGGCTCCCTGCTTTCACATGTCATTTGAAATAAATGAAGTTCCGAGGTTTTACCTATGTTTGGATCAACCCCCCAGCTGGATTTGGGAACCTGGATTTACACCACTTCAATCTCTGGCTGTTGGCTGTTTTATTCATTCAACACTGTCATCATGCCTCCCTAGGTTGTTTCTCATACAATGGATTCTACACTGACATGAGATAATTTGCAAAGACGATGACCTATGACAATTGATTGCATGAAGTAGTTCTTGAAATAACAACAATTCATTGATAAAATAAAACCCAGTAGAGCAGTTCAACTTGAGATGGGGAAAACTTGAAAATGACCTTTCAAAAATCAAATTCATTTTCTGAGAAATTTACCGCGAGGTCCCAGTAATGAGCCACTCCGGCATCAGCAAAAACCTTTTTTGCAGCCGCTTCAGTGATGCACTCATGGACAGAGAACTTACTGCAACTTGGTTTGGCAACGCTGCCTTGCCAAACTAACACACACTTGTTAGGAGGTTTCTCTTCATCCTCATCTCCATCCTTGTCTTCCTCTTTCACAGCTTCAGTCCAGTTTATTCGCCTAAGCATAAGTTTTCCATACCTCTTAATGGATTTGCTTCCACCTTCCACAACTACAACACTAATACCCTCAGAAATCACAGCACAACCAGTCAAACGGTTTTCTTGGGCATTAACATCAACTTTAAAGCGGGTCTTGGGATGTGAGAGGTCATTGATTTTGTAAACTGAAACAATAGTCTCCACTGTATTTGGGTCATCAAAAAGCTTTTTCTCTTTCTTTTCACGTCGTTCAGCAGGGGTAAGCTTGCGAGCAATGTTCCTGTCTACATGAGCCTGTTCCCGCTCAGCAGCAGCACTACGGATTTCCATTTCAAGCTTAGTAGGATCTTGGGTAGCTTCAGAGCCTAGAACTTTCATTAAATTGCTCAACTTAACTTTTGGCTTGGGAGGTTCTATCAGGCCTTGTCTAATCATCTCCTGTCTATCCTTTTCCCTGGCCAGACGTCGCTGAGTGCGTAGTTTCTTCTGCTCCTTTTTGGTTAACTTCAGGGGCTGAGGCGGTGGAGGAGCTGGCTCAGCAGGAGGCTCAATTGGACGAGGATGTTCAACATAAATGGTAATCTTCTCCATCTTCAG